CAAATGACTTTTACGAAAAACCTACAAAGTTATACGAACCACCAAGTGGAAGTATTTCAGACTTTCAAGTATGGTTTTACTACAGATGGAAGAAAAAGAATAATTCCATTATACCATGCGTTTTACTTAGAACTTAGTTTCATATACAACTACTATCGAACGGTAAAAATATAATTTTTTAATACGGTTGAGGTGTTGGATTTGGTTGCCAACTAGACTGTGGTGCAGGTTCAGGCTGTTGTATAACAGGAGCTTGTTCTTCTGGTTCAGGGTCTTTAGGTATAATACCAACAAACTGACCTACTCTTTTACCAATATTTTTGACACCGTTCCAAATTCCTCTTCCTACGGTTTTTATTCCATTCCATATACCTCTTCCAACATTTCGAAAGAAGTTTCCTATCTTACTGAAGAAACCCATTTACTATATGTAAAAATCTAATGTCCGCCTAGTCTCTTACGTTTCCTGTTGAGTTCCATAGCATTCTTTAACTGGAGCTCATACATTCTGTTTCTCCTCTGGTAGAAAACATATTCTGGGTCAACTCCTGTGTTTGCGTCATCTGCATAAAGTTGTTTATATCCCACTTCAGGGTTTGTATAAAACTCTTTCCATCTCATATTTGCATACCATGGTGGCAAACCTAACGCAGCGTCATTTGACATGGCAGTTTGCATTTGTACATCTGTTGGCACTTGACCATAGTTTGCCATTGCAGTTTGTATTCTAACTTCATTTGGAATATTCTCTGGGTTTGGTTGTCCAGGTTGCTGTGCATTCGCTAAGTTCTGTGCGTCCATTTAATATTAGATAAAAATATCTCTTACGAGTACATATGCTGAACATTTGCAGGCATTGGTTCATCTTCATATTCTCTGTACTTTTCTGCCACGTCAAATAAATAAATGACACAATGGAAAAAACCTAAAACAAGTAGTCCGATTTCAAACCACATTTACTTACTAATAAAATTCTTTGTTATGACACTTTCTCCAGTTTATAGGACCTCTCTCATATTCTATCTTGTCATATATAAACTCATAGTCATGTATGTCCTCTAACCATCTCATAACGGTTTCCAAACCACTTTTATCGGATGTAAAGTAAAAGCATGGATGGTTATGTAAAACGTCTAAAGTTTCTAAAGAGTCTCTCAAAGTCCAGTCTACTTGGTATTGAAAATCCCATGTGTTATAGAACGGTGGGTCCACTATAAAGAAAACATTTTCCTTGTCTTTATATTTTTCATACAACTCTGTCCAATGACATCTCACAAACTCTATACCCTCAATATATTTTTCTATGTCCTCTTTGAAAACATTTGTATAGTTAAGATATAAAACTTTTGACATAAGTGTTTCAATGTCATGAACTCTTATAGAACCACTATATAATAGTCTAGCAGATATACTATCCCAGTCTATATATTCTGCTTTTTTCAAAACCTCTCTCACAATATTTTTCTTATCTAATGGTATACGTTCCATCTTACCTATAGGTATCTTTTCTTTTAACTCTTTCAATATTTTGTTTGTGTCTGGAATATGTTTGAGACGGTCCATATAGTTGTCGAAGTCATTGCATATAATCTTTGAGTCTGGAAATATTATATGGCACAAATGGGATATATAGAAACTTCCACCGAACAAATCTACAAATGTTAGACCATTCGGTAGTTTCTTAAGTTCTCTCAATATAATATCTTTACATCTACTCTTATTTCCAAAGAACGGTAACGGTGGTTTTGTAAAATTCATTTATATATAATAATAAAAATGTTTTTCCCTGAAAAGTGACAGAAAAGTGACAAAACATGAAAACATATATAATTTGTGAAAAGCGACACATTATATAATGTTTTCGACCCAGAAGAAGGCTTCTTCCCAGAAGCAATGGAGGAAGAAGAAGAGTCCTCCGAATAAAAACTTCATTTATACTAAACATCAACATCAGGGCTAGAAGGCACGAAGTGCCTGGAAGCCCCACTTCCCTTTTTTTTTTTTTTTTTTATTTTTACTAAGAAAAAAGGTTTTTGATAATAAATTTATTTTATTTCGAAAAAGTAGCAATAATCGTAAAAGGGTATTAATAGGCTTGCTAAAGTAACTAATTTTAGCTGTCAAATACTTTTGTATTTTGAAGTAAATTAGTATAAATTTGATATTATTTTAACCCCCTTTGAAAACCTCAATTTTCCATACAGATGGAACGGGAATAGCATCCAATATTCCCTGAGAATGGTTGCGCATTCTCAGTTCCCTCTATATTTCGAACGAAGCTCTCATCGGTCTTTTTTTAATACTAAACGTTTTTTCCCCTGTCACTTTTAGCTAAAATTTGGGTTTGCCACTTTTGCATTTCATTGATGAAGTATTGAGTATGGGAGTCATTGAAGCAACAACCATTTTACCAAAGTTGCAAACAATTGAAAACTTTATCCAAAATGCAATTGCAAAGAAACAAGACGAATAAGTAATATTTAAGAATAAATATTAATATTTTAATAATTTCTATTTTTTAATAAATATTTTTAATAGGAAACAATTCGCTCATATAAATAAGAAAATTTCGATGAAATCATTTTCCATTTCACCCAAGTTTCCTTACTTTTGGCTGGAAACTGAAGGCTATGAGGCACTGATTATATATTGGTGCCCCATAGCCTTCAGTTTCTATTAGATAGCTGGGAAACTTTCTTTAAATCATAAGTTATGCCCAGAAATTTTTGAAACAATTTCCTCCCTAAAGTTAGATTTATATCAATAATTTTTATCAAACATCACTTCTTCGCTGAACGAAGAAATCACAGATTAGATGATTTAATTATTGAAGTATATACTTGGGTTATCCCAGCATTGTTAATTAAGCTTCAAATCTCCCAAGTAGATGATAAAAGACCAATAAAAATTCTCAAAAAAGCTGTTAGGAACTTAGAAGAAACCACACAAATGAAAAAGCTTGAGTCTCTTAAAATAGTTTCGACAATCAAAGAGGGTTTAGAACAAGGCAAGCTCGATCCAAACATTGTTCACTCAACTTTAAAACTATTATTGGAAAAAATCAATTAATTTAAAAAATAACTTATTTTAAAATAAAAAATTTATTTTTATTGAGTGATTTGAGAGCATCTCAAATTTTTTCGGACTCAATAAATATAAATTTGGATTTGTACATTCAATACAAACGCTTTTTAAATTCCATTTAAAAAGTGTTTGTATTGAATTTGTATAAATTATTAATTATTTATATTTCTCATATTTAATATACATATAATATACATATTGAATCCAGAAACTCAAAAGCCTAACTTCACTATAAAGGTGAATAAAAAGATGGCTTCTAAAATACATGGATTTAAACAAAATAAAACTTCTAAGTTCTTGCAAATTGACATTTCTTTGTGTAAATCAACTCTTTCAATCAAAATTTCTGATGAATTGTTTAAGATTTTAGATTCTGATACAATGAATATATTTATGATTAAAAACCTTTTCGTAACTGATATAATAAATTTCAACATCATTTCACTTCCACGACTTCATCTTACGACAAAATTACATTCTCACTTGTACCCATATTTTTGTACACAATACTGGCTATCCCATGGGTTTATATATAGGCCAATCAGAAAATTCCAAGGCATTTAATATTTTCTTTGATTGTCTGGACGCAGGGGGTTTTAACGGGAAGTGGTATTTTAAAGTTTATAAACGATAATAAATTGTATCTCATACCGAAATGGTTCTTTACAAAATGAAATTTTGGCGTCAAAATAATTTTTTTATCATTAATATATTTCATTTATCATTTAATGAAATATTCTGCTAAAATTCATTTTTTTATAATATCTTGATATTAAATTCAAGTTTGGAAGTCTAATAAGTGGAATTCTAAGCTATGCGGTACTAATTATATACCAGTGTCTAATAGCCTGAAATTGATTTTACACTAAATTTCAATTTTATATTATATAAATACATTATATATCTTAAATAAATTAATATAATATCTTTTTTGTGTCATTTTTATATCATTTTTTTGTGATTTTGAGGATTCCTACTAGAAAGTTCGAAAACTCGGTTGCAATCAGTTCCAATTGCGACCAAGCTTTCGAACTTTCTCGAATAAATGTGAGCCTACAAAGAACTGAAACATTTCAAATTAAATATACAGTTTTGTATCTATATTCACAAAATTTTTACTGGTTCATTTTTACAATTATAACTTTCTTATTTTTACTTGATGGCCATTGATTTCACGGGAAATAATTTACATTATACAATAAAAATATTATAATACAACTGTTCAGGAAATATAACTCAATTCTTATAAATAAAATTTCAATTGTATTGAGGAGGGCCAACTCGGGAAAATCATTTCCACTGCCCGGATTTGGCACCTTTATTACTGATAGTACTATAAAACATAATAGTATCTCACACCCTCCAATTCATCCTAAGGCGCCGAAAAATTTTTGGTGAAATGTCGTCGCATTTCACCAAAAATTTTCGGCGCCATATAGAGAACTATAGTCTGTACCTCGCAGACCATAGTTCTTAGCCAAAATCAATAATTGCACCCAATTTTTAGCCATTTTGGCTAAGAATCGGAAGATGGATCTGTTATCCAATCAAATTCCTTTTCCTTTACTCTAAATAATTCATATCTTGCTGAAAATTATTTTTAAAATTTGACACTTTACATTGTAAAGTGTCAATCCCTTAAACCTGTATATAAGAAAGGTGGCTTGTAATAGTCCATTTTAATTTATTTAAAAAATGTTTGTATAAATTAAAATGTTTAGTCCTATCACAAGGAAAAGATATGGATAAAATTATTCGTATTTTCCAGCGAGCCAGAGTTTACGGCAGCTTCCCAAATCTCCACGGAACCAGATGCGCTCGCCGTATTGAATTCTGAACTCCAGATCCCGGAAGAGTTGTGGTCCGCTGTGGGTGAACTTAGCCATGGTTGGTTGCCGTCCTTCTTCGCACATGCGTTAAAGAGGGCATTGCTTACCCTCTGTAACTCGCTGAGGAGCAACCATGGCAATGACGCGGACAATAGCAACCCTTCCTTTGCGCTCGATCGGAAAAGGACCACTGACCTTCTTCTTGTCTCTTTTGATTGTCAGGGTACATTGCCATGCATGGCTTCCGAACTCTCTGCTGAGTTCGTTTGGGTCATAGGAAAGCGAGTATGGTTCAAAGTTTGTCGCTTTCCTATTCATTTCCGTGCGCTGGTCCTCTGGGAAAAGCAAGATGAACTGGTCCAAGGCTTGACGCCTAAGAACAGTAGCCATGTTTGGGACACGTTGGATGTAGTAGTCCGCCAAGTTCGTCGCACTGAGTACCACTTGTTCAAAATGCGAAGCCTGTCTGAACAAGGGCTTGACGACTGGCGAATAGTACACGTCCAGGCAAAATTCCTCAAAATCTTGTGAACCAAACGCATATCTTTAATCTAATCTATAAAGATTAAAGTTATGATTATCAATATCAAATATTTAGCCAAAGCTCGACGCCTGGCGAATAGTCCACATCGAGGCAATATGCTCGGACCGTGTTATCCTCCTCCTCACTGGAGCTTGAAGAAAGTACCATAATGGGTACTCTATTCTTTTGAAGAGGAGGTGGAGGAAGTGTTCTGGATGCATAGTGTCCCATCGGAGGAACACTTCCATCGCTTGCTCTTCTTGCTTTGAGTCTCCTTGGGCATTCCTTCTGTTCCTCCGGAGGAGACTCAAAGCTTTGGAACAATTCATCCTAAGTGTTGTCCTCATTGTCAAGTGTACTTTGTGGTCCTAACCCTCTGCATTGAGGATGGGGTCCCTCCTCCTCTCCTCGCTCGAGGAGAGGGCCATAGTGAAAGTCCTCCACCTCGAGGTCGTTGGACAAGGTGGAGGTGGAGGAAGGGGACTCCAGAACTTCACCTTCCTCCTGACATCTTCGAAAAAGGCTCTCCGCTTAACTGAACTTGGAGAGCCCGTGGGAGGACTTGGATATGTTCCTGTGTGAAGTCTTCTTCTCCCTCTTGTGTTAAGTCTTGAAATAAGTTCTATCATAAGACGAAATGATGAAAGTGAACTGATATGAAAAGTGACAAAGAATATTTGACGACCAAATAAATTTAACAATGAAAAAATTACCATTACTTGACAACCTATCCTTGTATATTTTCCTCATTAAAAAATAATTTTTTAATTAAAATGGTTCGAGAGATATAGGATTATCAAAAAATATAAATTGGAACATCTTTATATTAAATAGAATTCAAAAAATCTTTTAATTAAAATCTGTAAAATTTGAAAGAGAAAACATAAATAAATAATTTTAAATCGAATGAATTAATTTTAAAAATTTTATTGAAATTTTACTATGGACCTATCATTATCAAATTTATTTTTTATAAAAAAGAATGACTCCCAATTATATCACGGTTTGTTTCAAAAGTAATAAAAAATTATATTGTATATTTAAGAAAATTCAATCATATTGATTTCATAACTTTCATCAATATCCTTCAAAGAGGTACCCCTTAATCCAGGTATTCTTGTTGTCAGTAGCATTGCTCACGACAATAAGCAATATATTTGTAACGTTAATTCATCGAATGTCAATGTTCATACTGGTTCTTCGCATTTTTTTTCTTGAATTTGAATTAAAATCTTTTCGTAAACTTGCACTTCCAAATTTTCAAAAAGTCGCTTTTTTAAACTTAAAATGAAATGGGTCTTCTATTTTCATCATCAACCCACTCCCGGCCATATTTGAGTTTATGAACAAACTCAAATATGGCCGTTAAACATAAAATTATATTACAGTGGCCGCCTATCTCTATTAGATAGGCGGCCACATTTCAACCTCCTCAGAAATGCGCCAAAACTTAAAACAATGGCAGCCACATATTTATATGTGGCTGCAATTTATGGCATTCCAAACGGGAACCGCGGTTGGTTACCATGGATTTCCGTCACCGGTCACATTTTAAAGATTTTTAAAGCCTTATAAAAATATGCTTTGTAAATCATTTTTTGTAAATCGGCAAAAATTTGGTAATTTTCTTCAACTAATAAATCTGCGAATAGCATTTATAATACAAGAACAATCTTTTAAAATGCGTTTGATTCATTTTTGTATAATTTCATATAGGCACATATATTCTTCCGGGACTTTCCGTGATTTTACCGTAAAATCATTAGTTTTCACCAATTTTTCCGTATTTTGAATAGTTTACTGCACTTTTTCCGTAAAATTGAGTTACGGGAATCCGCAAAATTTCCGGACCTCATTTTTCATAGAATATAATAATAATATTTGATAAAAAGATATATTATTTATATTTTTGATTTTTGAATTACGGAAAAAGTGAATTGTTAACTTGATTTTTTTATATGGTTAATTTTTCAAATGATATTATGAAGATCTAAAATATTAAAAGTAAAAAATTGAATTACGGAAAAAGTGAGGTCAAAAGTGAAATAAATTTGCAGAACAATTTTCATTGAAATAAGACATTGAGTATCACACTTTAGTGAATCAACATCTATAAGAATGAAGTGTTTTGAAGCTGAAATAATATTGAATAGAAATTAATTTTTTCTGAAATTTTGAATGAAATTATGGGAAATAAAAAATTACTAAATATTGTATCATACAAATATATTATTTTAAAGGAAAAATAGATGCTGATAGAAACGATGAAAAATTTTGAAAACTTTACAATTAATTTATGTTCGTTAACCACAGAGCTTGCAATCAAAGCTCACGTTAGACTACAAGAGTCATGAAGTCTCATACTAAGGGATATCCAACATATATTTTAATAATCTAATGTTTGTGACAAATATTCAACATAAAATTAAGTTTTCGTTTCGTTACAAGGCATTCATACTTTGGAGATATCATATTTAATGTACAGAAAAGTTAATATTAAACAATACATGCTAAAGAATTAATAAATAAGATAATAAAATAAATTTATACGTAATTACTTTCATTTAATATGCTTTATGCTGTATAATATTGATTAAGAGGCATTAAAAGGTTCCATAGTCTGCTTTTATAGGCAAGATTTTTGATAAAAATTTAAAATTTTGAAAAATGATGAGAAAAGGAAAAAAAAGGTAAATGAGAGCAAGAGGAGGGAAAAAAAGAAAAATAAAAGAAAGGGAAGGGAAAAATAAAAGAAAGAAGGACATATAAAAATTTAGATGCGCATTCTTAATGCCGAGGCGGCTTGCCGCCGAGGCGCGATTTTTTTAGGCCTCTACGGTAACCCGGCAATGTTTTTTTAAATCTTGTACAGCCCTACTGCAATTCGATATTTACATTGTTTAAAACTTTTTTTTCAGGTAACGTCGATGAATTTTGACGTTACCTGAAAAAACAAGTTTTAAACAATTTAAATCGCAAATTTACAAATACAATCACACAAAAGTATATTATCTTTTGTTTTTGAGTCTGGCCTTCGAATCATAAATATGACCAGATTCAAAAACTAAAGATAATATACTTTATCGTTCATTCTACGAAAGACCTTCAAGGAAAGGTCTGTTTTCCTTATCTTTTGAGTGGGAGTCTCAAAACTTTTTGAAACTTCCATTCAAAAGATTTGGAAAGCAGACCTTTTCTTTATTGAAATACGAAAGTTCCCCTCAATAAATTATACTACGATACATATATTATAAAACTTTTGTTTTATAAGATATGCCGAACTTCAAAATACGGAAATTCACACATAATGCGTATGTCAATCATAAATATACCTTACACTCATATTACTATTACAGTTTATTTGTTCAAACAATTTTAATAAAATTCAATCTTTTTTAAATACTACTTATATTTCATTAACACATTCATAGAATCATCTACCTTGTCCTGCATATACGCATGCCTATAATGGAAATGAACTAATCCAATCATAAAAAAACTCTCAACATAAAAACTATGCAATATATCTATAAACACATTATATATCTATAGTATAGCTATAGGTCTATATGATCATATTTATATTAAAGCTCAATTCCAAAATTTTTATCCAAACATTATCTTATATAACTTACCAAAATATTTTAGTGGAAAATAATGATGGTTTATAATTGCCAATGAAACAAACTTAGTACGTTGACAAAAAGAAAGCTAAGTTTAATTTGAAATTCGAAGAAAAAAATTATTAAACATTTATTCCCATTGTTCTGCTGTCAGTAACCACTTAGAAGCTTTTCTCCATTCTGTAAGAACGCCTACATCGACTTTAGCCTTTTCGCAAGAACCAATGTATTCTACGAAATTTGCCATTTCGATAATTTTTTCTAATGGAAGCATCTTTGAAGACTTTGTGAATGCTTCATTTGATCTATTTCTGTTGAATACTTTTGCACAATTAAATGTCTGACATGGTGTATTCGGTAAACCCAAATCTGCAATAAATCCGCATGCCCATAAAATGAAATGAAGGGATTCCCATCTCCAGCAAAGAAAACCTACTTGTTCATCTGAAGGAGTTTTATTTTCAAGATATTCTTTTTCATTTGTTGTGAAATATTCGGCGGCCTTAAATTTTGTTATGTAATTTTTGATATATTTCTGTGATTCTTCAATTGGGCAGTTCTTTTGGATCACTCCTTCGCTATACGTTGCGACTAAATACAGGGCAGTTGATCTTTTGCAGATTTCTTCAATACTTCTGAGAGTATTTGATTGCTCTGAATATACTTTTGGTATTTCTGATGGAACCGGGATTTCAAGTGTTGAGCAAGCAGCAGAAAAATCAAAGCTGGTCATATAAATTTTTTTTATCTTTTTGGAAAAATTCTCTGATAAATATTATTACTTTAATAATAACAGAACGATTTGAATTTCTCTCAAAATTGTATCGATTTTGTGACAAAGAAAAAAATTCAAATTTTTAAATGCTGAACTCAGTTTCTCGCGCATTTACACAAAATCCAGATCTCTTAGTCATTGGTGGTGGCCCAGGTGGTTATGCCGCTGCTATTCGTGCTGCCAAACTTGGATTAAAGACAGTCTGCGTTGAAAAAGAAAAACTCATGGGCGGAACATGCTTACGTGAAGGCTGCATCCCATCAAAGTTCTTCTTAAACATGTCTCACAAGGTATACGAAGCCAACCATGAGTTCAAGAACTTCGGAATTAAGCTTCCAGGCGAAGCTGCAGTTGATATGGCCATTGCTCAGCGCAGAAAGAACGGAATTCTCGCAGGACTTTCTGCTGGTATCGAAGGCCTCATCGATCGTGCAGGCGGCGAGCTCGTTCATGGTACAGCTACAATCAATTCAAAGAATGATGTTTCTGTCAAACTCGAAGACGGCAAGACAGTTATCTTCAATCCAAAGAATCTCCTCTTAGCTACAGGTACCGATAAATGGTTCCCCAAGACATTCCCTGTCGATGAGCAAATCATTGCTACATCACAAGGCGTTCTTAACTGGAAGGAAATACCAAAGACACTTACAGTTGTCGGTGGTGGTATCATCGGCCTCGAACTTGGTAGTGTTTTCCACTCATTAGGATCTAAAGTTACAATTGTCGACATGGCACCAACAATTGGTGGCCCATCAGTCGATCCAATGATTGGTCGTTACGTACAGAACATTCTCAAGCGCCGCGGAATGGACTTTATCCTTGGAAAAGGTGTAGATTCCTGCACAAAGACAGAAAACGGCGTAGAAGTCGTTGTTGGAGACAAGAAATTACAATCCGAGCGCGCATTGATCGCTATTGGCCGCCGTCTCCATCTCGATGGCTTTGGTCTTGAAAGATTAAATCTCAAACGCCAAAAGAACGGACTTATCGAAGTCAACAACAGACTCGAGACATCAGAAAAGAACGTTTACGCTATCGGAGACATTGTTCCGGGACCACAACTCGCGCATAAGGCCGAAGAAGAAGGAATTGCATGCGTTGAAATGCTCGCAGGACACGAATCATCATACGATCCGAACGTTATACCAGCTGTTATCTACACCAGCCCTGAAATTGCCACAGTTGGCCTCACACAGAACAAAGCGGCCAAACAAGGCATCAAAACAAAGGTTGGGATGTTCCCTTACTCCGCAAACTCCAGAGCAAGAGCCATCTTGGATCCAACAGGATTCGTCAAGTTCGTCTGCGGAGAAGACGGAAGAGTCCTCGGAATGCAGATTGTTGGTCCAAACGCTGGAGAAGCAATTATGGAAGGTGCAATCGCTATCAAGAACAAACTGAAGATTGACGCAATCGCAGAGACATGCCACCCACATCCAACACTCTCTGAAGCTGTAATGGAAGCTGCTAAAGCCGTCCTTTCAAAGGCAATCCACATTTAAAAACTAAAAATAAAATGTCTATGTATATGAAAAAATTGTAATTTTTTTTTCCTTATTTGTTCATTAAAAGATGTATATATAAATAAGAAGTCTAATCATTTAGAGACTCTATATAGTGTTTAAATCATCTAAATGATTCTATGTAGTGTTTAAATATGGATGTTGAAATTTGAGTTTTGGCTCCTTTTGCAGTAATTTTGTAGGTTCTAAAATATTTTTTTCCCAAGGATATAACTTTGCAATGCATAGAATATATATGAGATATACGCACCAATTTATATTAGATAGTTTCCTCTTTAACTCTTCAGATAGCAAAATAGAGGCTTCCAAAATATTTATTGAGATTAAAATTAGATGGAGCCATTAAGTATTATCGTCTCAGACTATCTAGAGTAATCTTTGCATGTAACAATCCATTGTAAGATGTATATAAGCTTAATATCATAAAATAATTCTTATAAATCATACGACAAACTATTCAAATCCATTAATTTCTCCTTGAATAGTCATGAAACGAAAAAAGTCTTCAGATGTAAGTTAAATAATTTCCTCGAAGTATCAATGCTGTTTATAAAATTTTATCGAAATTTAATATTACCAAAATAATAATTGAATAGTTTAGAATTTTTGTGTTGGGTCATTGAAATTTAATTGGGAATACATTTACATTGTTCGAATTAAGACAATATAATATTCTAATTTTCGAAATCAATTTTCAGGAAATTGAAATGCATCACGTGCGGAAATGGTTCCCGAAAAAGTGACAATTTGCGCGGGAATTTTTTAATGAATTTTGACGAAAAATTCTGATGTAATATTATATATTAAACTATTTTTTTGTTATCAAATTTTTATAATTTTTCTCAATTTTTTGAAATGAGACGATTATTTTTAATAATTTTTTGTAAAAAATCAAAAATGCTGAATATATAGACTTAGCGAGTGAATTGTTGCCTTGAAGGTACTGAATGTGGTTCAGTGTCTGCAAGGAAACAACTCACTCGCTGAATATTCTAAATTTTCTTGCAATTGTTCGCAATTGCAAGAAGTTTTCATAAGTTTAGCGAAGGAATTGAAGTAATATGGAAACAGGATATAGTACTTTGGTCACAAGACAGCAATTCCTTAGCTGAATGGCTAAAAATGAGTACAATTGTTGACAATGCACCTAATTTTTTATTTAATTTTCATTTTTAAAATTTAAGTTTTCAAATTTTCGCGCCAAAAAATAAGTTTTTCTGTTACTTTTCCTGTCACTTTTTCGGGGACCATTTCCGTACGCCACAATTTCAATGCTCTGAAAATAGTTTAACCTTCTCACGAAAGGTTCCAAAGATGTGATTATCGCTCTTATAATCATTGATCGAAAGATTCAGAAAGTGGCAGCCACATGAAACCGCTAAAAATCCCATCTCTTCTTTGGCCTGGTCAAATGCGGACCTTTGGACGCGGAGGTTATCCACTATAAAACCCTCAGGGGTCAGATGAAGGCGAGTGCATTTTGCGTAGCAATAATAAATTGCCTTCATATAGGCATCATTATTTCCAGAAAATATATTTTAAAAAGTCATTTTTTAAAAAAAATTTGGCAATTTATGATGTTAATCTAAAAATATAATTATTTGATTTCTATTGATGCATATAGTCGTCAGCTCAGAGATGGAAATGGAAGGGTAAGAGGTATATATTTATAATGTATACCTCTTACACTTTCATTCCCTCAAGAACGTTCAAAAACTTGTGTGAAATCAGTTCTGATTGCACCCAAGTTTTTGAACTTTATATAAGGAATTGTTGGCTATGATGTACTGATCATGAATCAGTACATCATAGCCAGCAATTCCTTCGCAAACAGCGGGAAACTTTGTCCTAATATTTTATTATTTCGACAAAGTTTCTTCCAATTGCGGTGGTTTCAGTTAGAGAAATGTTCCTTATTTGGTACTCATTCAAGGGTAACATTTCTTTAAGTGAATCCCTTGAAAGTAAAAATCAAGTAAAAAAATATTTTTAATGATAGTATCTTACATATAAAGAAACAATAAGAATTACCGAAAAAGTGACAAAACATCAAAAACAGGGAGGGTCTCAATTTTTATTACTTATATTATTTAACAATATTTATATAAATACTCTTTATAATATATTTTACTATAAAATTATACCTCAAATTCAAATATTTAAAATATTATTTACATAATTATCTCAAAATTATATTTTTATATATTATTTTTCATATGTATAAATCATATAATCTATATCTATGCAAATCTCATCTAAAATTTTTTGAAACAAACCGCTACCATTTTATAATGGTCCATCTTAAATTCATCATAAATTCTGGTACATGCTAGTACCAGAGTCTTCAAATCTCAAACACTCTGGTACCAACATGTACCAGACGCGAGTTTCCAATGCCCTCGTACGATTTTCTATTAAAATCTTCTTGAATGAGAAGGTCTTCATAGAAACTCGTACGAGGGCTTCTCTTTTAAATACTCTGGTACCTGCTGGTATCGGAGTCGACTTTACAGCCCTTTCCCCAATTTTGAAGCTAGGGAAATTTTTCAGGCAATGAAAGGGAAGCTCTCGCTATGAGGTGAAAATCTAGAATTTTTACCTCATAGCGAGTAATCCTTTGTTAATTGCTTGAAAACTTTCTTCAAATTATCAAAATTTCGAGGAAAGTTTCCTTGCTTCAAAGTAGAGATGGAGCCCTTTGAGCCACTGCATATAGGTCAGTGACTCAAAATACTCCATCTCTACTAGAAATCGCCAAAATTTGGGTCGCAATCTTTGAAATGCGACGCAAGTTTTGGCAATTTCGCGAGGGACTTGCTCCATTTGGTGCATAGATTCACACTCTATGCACCAGATGGAACAATTCTTTCGCTGACAGCGGGAAACTTTGTCTGAATAGTTTAAACATTCAGACAAAGTTTCCCGCTGTCAGGGAGGGAATTAGAGGGTGGGAGATATATAGATAGACTATAAATCTCTCATCCTTTAATTCCCTCAAGAAAGTTCAAAAACTTGGGTGCAATCAGTTCTGATTGCACCAAGTTTTTGAATTTTGTATAAGGAATTGTTGGCTATGATGTACTGATCATGAATCAGTACATCATAGCCAACAATTCTACCTTTTAACCAAAGATAATTGATTCGTATGTAAAATATTAAGCTAAAATTTCTCTTTCTTTTAGTACACATTCTTCCATTTCGTGTACATGTATCATATATTAAGTACTAGTTATCTATTCTATATCCTTTATCCCAATTTAGATACTCAAAGATAATTCTTTTTCAGAAGAAAAAAAATATTTTCTATTAAACCGTTATTTTTTCAATGTGAGTTTTCAATTTTATTTTCCCTTTTTGCTGCTCAATGCAACATCCTCCACCCGATCCTCCATGCGAGGTTGATCAAGCCATAGGATATTTACAATATTCTCGTTTTGTTATAGCTGCAGAGCTGCATGGTAACATAAGATTTGTCAAAGACCCACAGTTAGTACACCAGTCTTGGGTATGGTGGCACTGCGTTCCACCTTACCCAATACTTGTGAATTTGACACTTTACAAAACCGCTAACGTACATTTTACAACACGAACACAAAACTAACTTAACCTTAAATATTTACAAAGCCGCCAACAATTTCACCTCACCAACGAACTCACTAATGAAAAAATAAACGTTCTCATAAATTTTCTTCTATATCTTCATCGTCAGTGTTAACTCTATTGTAGTCATACTTGAAGTCATAAAGTTTCTCAAGTTTTGAAATGCATAGTCTTGTTAACTTACCTTCATCATCATAAGTTTTATAAAACTACCATGACAATCTTTATAAACAGTCAATGTATAGTCAACTGGTCTAGGATGAAGTGTAAAGAACATGTTTATACTCAGGAAGGAAGAATAAATGTTTAAATGTATGTTTGTTATATTTTTCGATTTGTATGAGTTGCTTTTGTTCCCATATTTATATAAAAATAAAATAAAAATAAAATAAAAAATAAACTTAAAAATAAATGATATCACCACCCTCACACGTATGAAAACATAGCACAAAAATAAATTTAGGGTAGATGGGTATATCTAACCCGATTTCTAACCTCATTTCTACCCTGTTGAATTCATTGCTTTATAACTCTCTTCCTTGGTTTCTTTTTAGTTGCTTTCTTCACGTCTGTCTCCAACTTGACTGTCTTTCTTCTTCGTCCGTAATGATACCAATTACTTCCACCAGTCAATGGGTCAAATGGTCGTTCATAAGGGTTTCCATACATTCCATAGGGACCATACGGAAGAACTACTGGTGGAGAAGAAACATTTTCTTTAGTTCCATCGACTCTATTTAAATGCATTGTTTCACCTTTCATCTGGTCATTAAAGTCTTTTGCGTGTTTTGCAAACTCATCGTCCTTTCCTAAAGCATTTTCTGACTCAGTCGCAACCAAATTGGATGCTTTATTTATGAGCCCTATTTTATTTAATCTTAACTTCTTTGCAACCCAGCCTCCAATCTTCCCTTTATTTGCATCTAATGTCTTCGAAACCCTTCCTCCACTCATTTTATTTACTGCGTCATAAGCTCCAAGTGCTTTTGCTCCAAATGCTAATGCTTTTGTTCCCATTGCGCCTAAAGCTGCCCAAGCTACCATTTACCCCATATTAAAATCATCTCTCTTCAATATTATCTCATAAAAGTTCTCGTTACTGGAGAAAGTCAATGAAACATAAACGTTCTCACGGGCTTCGCCCTCACCGCTTTGCGGTCTATCTAATTTATTTCTTATCTCATCTATATGCTTCAAAATGTCTGAACAATTGCTAACATCTTCTACAACAGTTATTTCATCATGAATGACCTTCAAGAACAAGCTCATTTAATATGCTATTAAAATCATCTCAATAATGAGTCCATCCTTTCCATCTTTAGGTAGCACAACATCTTTCATTGAAGAAGGTTCGACAAGTCTTATGTTAAACTTACTGA